GTTCAAAATTATTTTTGCATCCCTTATTGTCTACTTGAATTTTGTTATTATATATTGTATTTCTATCCCATCTTTGTTTTAAAAAAAAAGGTCTCAAAGAAGCTGATCACACTCAAACAAATGAAACAACAAAGCCTTTAAAATCATCGCTAAAAGCCAACAAAATAATCCAGATTTTAAAAACGCTGCTTCTTGGGTTTGTTCGTTTAGTTTGGACAAGACTTCTGTTTTCTGTAGGAACAAGAACATGTCTTTTTTTATTGTTTCCTTGACATAGCTTATAAGCAGTGCTGGAGACCTTTTGGCCTTTATTTTATTTAATTTTATTCAATTTCTGTACTGCCCCTCTGGCTACCAAGGCCACTCTGGGCAGTTCACAACATTGTGCTACTTTTGTTGACGTGTAGCATATAAATTCTTGTCAAGTCTCTGGGACTGTGGTTTTGAGTCACCCCCAAGCATTTTGGAGAGGTGTGACCACTCTTGACTTCCCTTTTCAACTTCCTTTTCCTCATTCAGTCATTTAAAAGTCATTTCTAGCTTTTGAAGATGACTACATTGGAATTCCTTCGATCTTACACTTGGATATAAATAAAATTTGATATCACTATGGCCCTTGTTTCCAGTGGGTTCAATCATCTGTCACACTAAATGAATTAGGTACATAAACTTTTAATTAAAAGTACAAGAAATAAACCACATATTTGTTAGATACGTAGCACTCAGCTAAGTGTCTACGTTTTTCTTACTAAACTGCAGGGTGGCTTTTCCCCTATCCCAGTCAGAGCCAAATAATACCCCTGCCTCTTTTTTAAAAAAAATATTTATTTGTTGGCACTAATGGGAGTTTTTTGTTTTGTTTTGTTTGTTAGCTACCTCTGCCCATACATCATGGGGATGGTTTCCTGATCATGCTGTGGAGAGATAAACATCCCGTCTATGTGTTCTGTATGTGGATTGCCTTCCCTCCCACAATGCAGCCTGTAATTTAGTAAGGAAAAAAAAGCTGCACACTAGACCTAGTGAAATGTCGAGTTTTGTTTGCTGGGGCATGGGTTCTGAAAGCTACTGCCAAAGACTTGATGGAAAAGGGCGGCTTGAGAGAGAGCAATTAGGCGGAAATAACAGAGGTAGGATCTCAGAGGTGTTTCCATGAGGCGATGCCAACCATGCATAGCAAGCGACAGAGGACAGAGTATTTTGTAGCATGGACAGAGCTTTAGACAGTGGCAGATTACAACATTTCAGGGGGGAAGATCACAAGCAGGAAAGTTGGTCAGGCTCTCCATAGTTCTGACTAGTTTGCTACAGGAAGTGTAAAGAAATCGCACAAACATTCCTTTGTCTGGGCAGACCCCGGTTGCACGACCTATCATACAGTGTCATAACCGGTTGTGCAAGTAATGGAGCAATCAGTGCGAGACTGGACACACAACAGGGAGCTTGCCAGAGACTGGTGAATGGTTCCATGGTCACCCTTCTGCAATGGCGTCACATGACAGGACACTAGCTGCTAGCTTTGTTCAGAGAGTTTCAGCCCTCCTCAAGCCAGGTATAAGCTATCCTGTACCAGTGGTAAAACTTTAAGCACCAACCCTAGCAACAGCTAATGATCAGATACAGCTACTGGAAGGCTTTGGTATTTTGTCCCTTCTTAATAAACCCTAATTAAAATGCAAATGGTTCATCTCACTTTTTAACTTCCTCCTTCTCCAAAGTCAGGGGTCTTGATCTTTAATAGAGATAGGCAGTACAAGAGGTCTCTTCTGTAATAGCTACCAGCTTATCCCCAAGTATACAAGCCAGCATTGTTGTTATTTAGTCGTTAAGTCGTGTCCGACTCTTCGTGAACCAGCATTAGGAGCTCTCTAAAACCATGTTTAGGGCCTTTTCCCTGAACTCTCTCTGAATGGATGTCCTGGAGCAATAAACATAAATTGAGTACGTATACTTATGAGTTTTCAGTAGTTATTCCTGCTTAATAGCTATAAACACAGTACCCGCTTGTTGCCCTCTGCTACTGCTACGGCCTCACAATCTTAAAAGAAAGGCTTGAGGCATCTTTCTGGCTCTGCCTCTGCTTTCCTCGCCTACAAGAAGTTCCTGAAATCATTATTTTGGCAACTAAGCCAGCCAATGCTTTCTGACCAACCTCTTTGTTCTCCTGCCTTCGTTTCTGAATGAGAAGCACCAGAGTTCCCAATCACAACCCCTTCGGTTGCTCCCAAGGAAGGACAAATCCGTTCAGTGCAAATAAAAACTAGTGCGTTCTGTACCTTCATCCTGATACAAGACTCTCCATCCACCTCCACCACATGTTTGTGTCATGCTAAGAAGATGGAGAAAGAGTCCCCTGTCTTTGTGAATGCTTCTTAAAAGAAGAACAAATAGACTGGGTAAAATGATGGATAAGGGAAAAGGTCACACCATGGAATTCAGGTAGATAAATAGCACAGAGAATATGTGTCAGTAAACATGGAGACACTGCCCTCTACAGGATGGCATCAATCACCCAGAGTTTATACCAACTGCTGAAATATAAATGGGTTAAAACACCAAATCCACAGCTACCATTCTCATGATTCTGTGACAGTTGTGGTTTCTTTGGTGTTTATCCCAGATATACTACTAAACGAGAAAAGAGTGGCTTCTAGAAGAAATGTAGTCTATAAACAAAACAATCAGATAAACCTCTGCTCTTGTGGCTGCAGATTTACACCAAATGCTATCCGAGTTGCCTGAAGCAAAAATAGACAGGAAACCAGATACTGTATTCACAGTATAACCTTTGTCATGTCAAAAAGGATATTAGTTGAAAATTATTCTCAGATAATACAGAATAGCCAAGAAAAAAAATCCATTTACGGATAGGTTGCAAGAAATGTCTGCAAGTTTACAAATGTATGTCTCCCCATGGAATTCTTGTTAAACCAGGTTGCACAACTAAGTTGGTTGTGATTAACAGCGGAATTCTATCAGAAGCAAGCTTCACTAGCCCAACAGAATTTAGTCCCATATAACTATATACAGCCTTACACCTTGATGTGTTGCTTTCACTTGGATTCAGCAGATTAACCTGTGCTCAGCTATGGCAGCTGGCCTCATAAGAGAACAGGCTGGCTTGTTTCAAGGCATTCTGTCTTCTCTCACTCGTAGGAGCCTGCCTAAGCTCTGAGATGTTCAGGGGAGACCCATCTCTTGGTCCTGCTATTCTGAGGGCCATACTTTGGCCTCTTCCCTGTTGTCCTTCAGCCACGAGGCAAACACCCTCTTCCTCAGGCTTTTGTCAGCTTTCTAATCCCTGAAGGAAGTGCATTTTAGCAAGTGGGTACTGTGTTTTCTTGATTGTATGTTCTTGTTTCTTGATGTATTTTTTTCTATTTTTAATCCGTTTAGGAGTGAACTTGTTTCTGTTTGAGTTTTATTGGTACTCAATCTCATGCTGAAATGTCTCGAACACCTTTTTTTTCTTTTTTGGAGAAATGTGAGACACCAATTCAATTAAGTTTAATTTCAAAAAGATATCAATACTGATAATAATTCCCTATCTACTATGTCGATGTTTCATGTGCCAAATAAATCAGCATTTTGGTCTGTCGGGATTTCTTTTTCAGTTATCCCATTCCTTATTCGCTTCATGGGTGGTGATGGTATTTACCTCCTGAACTTTCCAGCAGAAAAAGCACAGTCCTTGTCACTCTGAATAGCTTTCTCATCCTCACGAAGCACAGACTGTTAATGTAAAATTGCAGTGGTTCAAAAAGAAAAGCCCTATATCTGCGTATTATTCAGCTCTGCCCTGTGCCAAAATAAGGGATATTCTTTGACTGTAATGGCTTAGTGTGATTTGTGCCACCACAGCTTAAAACAACTGATAGAACGGGGTGGTCCAACTTCCCTGCATCTCTGGGGGAGTGAGGTGGCTGAAGAAAGGAGAGCAGTTGTAAGTCAAAGAACAAACTCAGCCATGTGTTGACAGGCAGCTCTTTTGAATAATTTCACAAACGTACATGCATTGGCTTAGATGGACTTAGCAAAGTCATAACTGAGAACTGAACCATGTCTAATTCCATACTCCGTGAATAAAAAAGCAAGTCTTATTTCCAATATTAGCACAATGTTCCCACGAGCCATAGACCGGCACTGCCAGCCTCTTATGCTTCCTTAAGTGTGAAGAAGAAGCAGTCTTTACGGAGGATGGAGGGGAAAGGGTGAGAGCCATTCTGTTCTTTGCCATTCTGTTTTATTTTTTTTTACAAATCTCTAGGTGTAGCACTAGTTTTGCACATCCCAACAGGAAGTAAAAAAACAAGTAAAATCAATTAAATAATAAGTAAAAACATCTGGATAGTAATTGTTTTGGGGAGAGCTTAAAATCCGAGTCACCCATCTGGAAATGCGTGCCAAAACTCTGCAAACTGCCCTGCCTCACCGCAGTCTCACCCTCAAAGGCAGTAGATGAGAAAGTGGGGCTACCCTCCCCCAGCCCAGGAAGAGGGAGAATTACTAAAATAGGCCATGGCAGTGTCCCTAACAGGCCAGGAGAAGCACATCACTCAGGGGCTCTAATATTCTTCTTTTCCACCTTGGCAATCATCTGTTCAAGACAGAAAACTAAATATTACACTCATACATTCTAAATGTGTTTTGAAGAGGCTCCACACATGCCTCCACACACCTGTAACTCTGGATCAATAAAGAGGAAATGCAGCCTCAAAAACGGAAACAATGAACCTGTGTTAAATATTTGTTCCTTTAAAAAAAAAGGGCCCATGATTTGATCAAGGGGTCAATCCAGATAGTTTGCAACCACTGGAAACCGGTGGAAAAACGAAACGCCTCCCCAGCAAAAAGCACACCAAAGAACAAAAACTGGAGCAATTATAACTGGCCTTATCAGCAGTATAGCATTCTCGTAATTTTCACAAGCACATTCCACTCCCAGCTTAAGGAAACAAAGCCGTCTTTACTTGACGCTTAAGAAAAAACAAAGTCCTTACCTAGACAGGTGGCTTCGGGGCTTCCAGTCAGAGCGCTGTGAAAGAAAAGGTGCATAAAGATTAATCAGGTTGTCATTTGGGAGAGGCTATGCACTAGCACCTAGTATGTTTTATGTTCAGAAAAGATGTGTGCAACATTTATTCACATATTCTTCCCTCAGCTCTAGTGCCTTGCATATTATACTCATCCAATAGCTACTTGAGTTCTTACAGGGTGGCTGAAAAACAGACAACAAATGTGAAAAATTCTGTACATCATAAAGCTGAACATTAAAAACCAAGCATGAGGCATGTAAACACATGCCCTGAACCTAGATAGCTATATTACCTTTGATGTATATTGAAGAAATCATATTGAGTAAATGTCATATAAAATATTATCAGATTGTTTTCTAAATAGTCAAAGGCACTTTAATTAACAGTGAATCATTTTTTTAGAAAGTGTAATAATTGCAACTTGTGCTAGTCCTTCCTCTTGCAACATGGATCCCTCAAGCACAATTCTTTTGAGCTGCCCTGTTGTTCTATATTAATTTCAGCCTAACTTGGGCTTGTTCTGAGAATCGCTATGACCAATCTCAAGCACATATCTAACAGCCACTACCCCGAAAAGTCTGTGCATACTGAACAGAAGCATCTTTCTCCTGTGTGTTCAGATCTTTGGTGCTGCTTCATTAGTCAGGTTATTTTTATGTTCCCAGAAATAACAAAATGGAGAGAGCAATCATTAGCTGCAGTTAGAACAGCTGCAGATGACAGGCGAGGCAGGCCCTCCTCTCAGCACTTCGGCTGGTTTTAGGGTACTTATCCAGACATCTGTTCATAGGTCAATGATCATTTTTCTCTTTGCAGTCCCCCTTTTAAAAGCTAATATCTCTAACTATGATGGTGCCTTTGGGTTGCAAGCCTAAGCAAAGAAGTTGATAGACCACATTAATGCACAACTAGTTAAGGCAGTTATTTGACCACCAAAATGATCACCTTTATGTCTAAAAATTCAGGCTTAGATGGTGAATCACCCTTTTAATAATAACAGCATATCTTTTAACACTTTTTGTACTACTGAACAGGGCTTTGGAATCAGCACTGTGATGGCACCATTAAAAAAAACAATTCAGCCCAGGTTTTACAAGCTCACTGGGCCTTGTACCAAAATCAGCCACATAATAACACACTTGGAAGTAGGAAAATGTACACTGAATTTTAGCTCTAGACAGTGTGGGTGTTTTCAATAAATCTGCTGTTGCTTTTATGTTTTATTTATTTATTTTTAAATGCAGTCTGCCTTTCAGACTGTTAGGTTGCTGCAACCTGCAGTCATGTTTACAGTCAGTTCTTAAAATATCCACTGTCACTAATGGGGCAGAGAGCAAGGCAGCTAAGAGTAACTGGCATCCATCATAAAAGGTAGGGACTGCAGTAGGGGGGTTAATAATCACAAACGAAAAAGGACCACAACTCCAGAATGCAACCAGAAGCAAAAAGATAACTAGTACATGAAAACAAACAGGACAACAACCAGTGTCAGAAAGATCTGCTTGGAACAGCTCAGGCCACCAAACCAGGATGGGCAGGGGGTAGTCTTCCACCTTACAATAATACCCCAAACAGAAAAAACCTTCCATTTAAAGCAAAAGTTAATGGTTGATGCTGTACTTCCAAAAAAGAAAAAAAAGTGCCTTTCCCTCAAAGCAGGGGCACATTAATACTCTCCTGTTGTACCTTAACTTCCACCACAAGTAAACATTACAGTGTAGTTCCACTACTCACCCCGTTCCCCATATAGCACATCACTACAAACTGCACACTTGCAGTATGGTTCTATCAGTAATCTTTATAATCTTTACCAGTCCAGTCCAATTAATCTATATTTAGGGACTGGAAATCTCACTGGCCAAAATTCATAATGTAAGTGCAATCTCACAAGGGAAGGTACTTGTTTCCTGGGCATGTGTCTGCTCTTCTCCAAACTGTACAACTGACCATACCAAGAAAAAAGAAAAACAGCATAGTAATAGACACAATTTTCCTCTGCAGGATTCTAGCCATTTTGTTACATGGGCTTCATACTAGCTAAGGAGAGAGGTTTTTTGGAGGGGGGTGTTGGGGGAGGTTCACCTTGGAGAATCAAATAAGGTTGTTCATCAATTTTGTTCATTTCTGATTTAAGTTAAGGTACAAGATGTATCAGGATGCAAGGTGCATCAGAATGTGTATGTTTTGAGCTAAGATGAGGGAGGTTGTTTGGTATTGATTTCCTTTCTTTTGCACGTATGTTGTTGTTGTCTAGTTGTTGAGTCGTGTCTGACTCTTTGTGGCCCCATGGACCAGAGCACGCCAGGCCCTCCTGTCTTCCACTGCCTCCCGGAGTTGGGTCAAATTCATGTTGGTCGCTTTGATGACCCTGTCCAACCATCTCATCCTCTGTTGTCCCCTTCTCCTCTTGCCTTCACACTTTCCCAACATCAGGGTCTTTTCCAGGAAGTCTTCTCTTCTCATGAGATGGCCAAAGTATTGGGGCCTCAGCTTCAGGATCTGTCCTTTCAGTGAGCACTTGGGGTTGATTTTCCCTGAATTCTTCGGTGGTCAGCCTTCTTTATGGTCCACCTCTCACTTCCATACATCGCTACTGGAAAAACCACAGCTTTGACTATGCGAACCTTTGTCGGCAAGGGGACGTCTCTGCTTTTTAAGATGCTGTCTAGGTTTGTAGGTATAGCTCTAACCATACTTTTTTTTTTTTGCTTTAAACTCAAGGTTTTTCTTCCCCACTTTGTGAAATTTCTCTGCTTTTTGAAACATAGAGGCAATAAACAATGATGTTGGTAAATCAACTGATGACAACATGTCAGGAGCAGTTTAAAGTAGGTATTGGTCCCCCCCCCGCATTGTATAAACAAACAAACCAGTCAAGAGCAACATAAAACCTCAAACTCACTTTATACAGCAAGCCATCTTGCACTGACCAGTTTCTGCTTGGAGTGTCTAAGGCAACTACATCCCTTGAATGGAGGGGACTCCTCTTTAACTCATCTGCTAAATAGGTTAAGTTCTTTATAATACTACAAGATGTTACTCATAAAAATGGCTTACATGGCATGTTCCTCAGTAATTTCCCTAGAAAACACATTCCACAGTCAGATGTGGTCCACCAAAATCTAGTCATGGGGTGGGGGATTGCTTAAAAAGCTCAATTTTCATGATTACCATACACATTGCCTGCCTGAGTAAAAGGCACAAGTGGAGATCTCAACCTTTCCGAAGGCAGCAAGACGAAGTAAAACTGCAACAATAGTAAATGCTTGTCCCAATTTAAAAGTTGCCAGAAAGCAAAACAGATGATATGAAAAAATTCATGAACTATAAGCATAAGAGCATTTGGCAGCTATTCCCTCTGTATACACAATCTGTGTATAGCTCATTTTCTATGAGGAAATCAGTTTTATTGGGGCATCAAAATGCAAAATAAAAGTCTGCAACATGTTTCAAAAAAAAAGTAACAAAGTCTAGTTCCTCCTGGATACTTTTGTTGACTTATCCTGGAAAAAATCACTGAAATGATCCAGAAGGAGACAGCCTGCCTCTATGTGCTCAGAGCGAAGGGCAGGCCTTCGCTATTTCACTTTTTACGCAAACAAGTCATTCAAGGTGACCTAACACTATCATATCAATCATAAGGCTGTTATTTTGTCCCAGTTTCTCCCCCAAGATGAGGAAGAGAGTAATAATAAAAAAAGGCTGGAAACACAACCTGCCCTCAAATGAAACTCACACTTTGACCTTGATAACTACCCTGTTTCCCCGAAAATAAACCCTACTCCCAAAAAATAAGCCCCAGTGAAGTGAAACCTCGCCCTCCACCCTTGTGCAGCAACCAGAAGATGACATGACTATAGTTGAATAAATGTAGATGGTTGAACATGAAAAAAATAAAACACCCCCTGAAAATAAGCCCTAATACGTTCTGGAGGAAAAATATAAGATCTTGTCTTATTTTCGGGGAAACATGGTAGTTAGTAACCCCCAGGACCTCCCCACTACCTTGAATATATATGTATTTATTTAAAATATTTTTACCTCACCTTTCTCCTTAGAAGGACCCAAGGCAGGTTACAACAGTTATGTACCCTGTTCGCAAGCAGCCCATGGCATGCTTCCCAGCACACAATCCTACATTGCTATGACAATAAAAAAAAAGGAAAAGGGCATCAACCCTGCAGTGGAAAAACATACAAACTCACCAGCTGAAAAGAACTGGACAGGGGAGGGAATACTCCTGGGGCAGGATTCTGTTCATTCTTTTCATTTGCACAGTGGCCCACTGGATGGCACTCTGGATAGCTTCCAACCCTGTTCAGAGAAGTATTACTGTAGTAGGAAAATGCAAGCTTGGAAAGTGCCCAAAGGCTCACGTAACAGACTACGGTGCAAGCAGAAGGAATGAACTGGATTCAGCCTTTGGAAGGCAAATGTAATTTCTGCCAATGGCTGATGCTATGAACTCCTGGCAAAAGCGAGGGAAGGAAGTTTGGATAAAGGGAGGTACAACAACGTATCACACTCCTGTTTACAACAGCTGAGCTTCTACAAAATTACCAAGTTATTCTAGTCACATTAGTGTAAACAGTATTCAAAGGGATTTATCTCTGTTTATCCTATTCAAAGAATCTCCTATTCAGCTCTCAAAAAAAATCAAGAAATCTTCCCATTTTCCTTTGAGCTAAATACCAACATCCCACCCAGAGTATATTTGACTGTGCTTCTGATTTTGAAAGCTAAACAGGACTGGCCCTGGTCAGTACCGTACTTGGATAGGAACACCAGGTGCTATATTAGAGAAGGGCTGCTAGTTCAGTTCCATGTCATGGTCCCAGATTCAATCTCAAGAACCTTCGAATAAGGCTAGGACAAACATAGGGCTGAAAGGCTGGAAAGTTGCTGAAAAATACTGCACGGGAATGGGAGGGTGCACACAATGGTCTAACTCAATAGAAAGCTGTTTCCTACAATCCTAATTATTACTGCATTCATCTTTGACTAATTGAGAAATGCCTTGATTCTAGCATGACCTACTTGGAAGGAAATTCCATTGGCATTCGCCTCAGCAATTAAATTAATTCATGCATATCTGGTTGACTGGTGGGCAGAAGGATCAGTTAGATCTGATCTAGCAGGCGTTTACTTAACAAGGCTTATTACAATTTCTTTAGAGTTTGACGACTGTACCAAAGACTCAGTTTTAGTGCCCAAATGCCTCCTGACAAATGGAACCATCATTTTGGGAATGGGTTGGATAATGAAATCCATAAGCTAGTGTGAAGTTGCAGCTCTCAACTGGAATTCCAAGCTGTGATTGTAAAAATGGGACAGCCTAAAAAATTTGGCAACTATAGTCCAAAGCAGAGGTAATATTTCAAACTGTGTATCAGCGAAATGGGACAAGAGTGTATACAAAAAGACTGCATAATCTATGATTTATATTGAATTCTGAGGAAGCAACTCTGAGTAACACAACCACTTTAGATTCTCGGAGCAAGTGCCAAATCACGATGGAAAAGCCCATAATTTAAATTTTAAAAAATCCAACACAGAGGAACCCATCCCATGAGAGGGAGGCACCAATAATTTCCCTCTTTGCATATTACTCTAGAGGACCTAAATTTAAAAAATAAATGAAAGGGGTCTCCCCTCAGTCCACCGGTCAGAAATCATCATCGTTTAGTCGTGTCCGACTCTTCGTGACCCCATGGACCAGAACACGCCAGGCCCTCCTATCTTCCACTGCCTCCCGGAGTTGTGTCAAATTCGTGTTGGTTGCTTGGCAGACACTGTCCAGCCATCTCATCCTCGGTCGTCCCCTTCTCCTCTTGCTGTTACATTTTCCCAACATCAAGGTTTTTTCCAAGGAGTCTTCTCTTCTCATGAGATGGCCAAAATACTGGAGCCTCAGCTTCAGGATCTGTCCTTCCAGTGAGCACTCAGG